CTGTGTCTCTCCATTGTTGTCTTCATTATCATCTTCCTCTTCAGTCTCGGAGCGGCTGCTGTAGCTTGTGTCGTCAAACAGACTGATGGGTGTGACCTTCCCCCCTCCCACAAGCCAGGCAGAGGCTATGGGGGTACAGAACTGCAAAAACACCATGAACATTATAATCATTTACATAACCATAGCTCAGTCCATGTCAAGAATCATGAAAGTAGGGCTAAGGCAATGTACAATCTTTGAAATTCTAATCAGTTTGTTTGTGTAAGATTATGAAACAGGTTAAGTTCACATTTCAAGGGGAATATGAATATGTACATAGAAAATTGAAAACAGAAAATGTCCACATTGTTATTTTGTCATTAATGGGGTAAAAATCATATTAATATTGAAAAAAATATATTAATATTATGACACATTCTGACATATACAGTTGCATCTGTTTAATTCAGTAATAGTGGTAATTTTTGCATTTACAGTGAAAAAAAAAAGCACCAGCTACCCTATTTTTTGCTGACATCTAGAATGTTATGTGCCATTTTTTGTCTAATGTGAATATGCCTATTATTAACAGAAGAGCACTTTATCCATGACTTATTTCAGTTTTTAGTCCTTCTCACCTGTCTCTCCCACACCAGCTCTCCATTCGGCTCGGGGCTGAATGCCATCACCTTCCAGTCGGACACAGACACTTTGATGACCAGGTCGAGGTTCTGGTTTGACCCTTGACCCTGTTCTGGTCCCTTTGGTTCCTCAGTGATAAACCTGGGAGACTCTTTCCATGCTTCACCGTTGCCCTCCAAGAAGTTCATCCCAGACTGAGCCTCTGGGACCAGCTTCAGCTCAAAGTTTCCCACACTGAAGTTCCACCTGTATTAGATTGACCAAGATTTATATGTTAATAATAATAATGACTCTATATAGCACGTTTTAAAACATGGTTACAAAGTACTTCAATCATTAACTGATTCGGAAATACAGGTCACATGATGTATGCATGCATAATCTACAGACTAGACTACATAGTGAATGAAAGTCATTTAACATTTTATTTTATTTTGTTAAAGATGCCCTATGTGGGGTCCGGATCTGCTTGTTTCCATGGGAAAGTTGATGTTTTATCTGGAATGTTCCACAGAACTGCATTAAACTGAAATCTTAGAACAATTAGAGGTGTTTATGTTGTTAAAAATGCATTGAGAAGCATGGATCAACCTGTGAGTCGCCTCTCCACAGATCTGATCTATGACTTTGTTTGGTAGAGTTACTCCCTTCTCTCCACGCACAGAGCAAAGTTTAACGGTATACTGTAGAAAACTACTTGCAAAGCTCTCCATGGAGACAAGCAGGCAGACTGGCCACTAGAAAAGTTACACTGTGCCCCTATAAGAGCGGCTATAATCAACCATAAAATCTCATTGTTCCTGTAATAATCACAACACTAAAATTTGACATTGTGACGTCCCTGGGGTCAGAGCCAACCGTATTAAAGCACTAACATTCACTGGTAATGGCATTCGCTTTATAACCACAGCACAAAGTCAATAGAGTCTGCACAGTGAGTGATGGGCTGTGACAGTGTGATTGAATAAGACTCACTTCTCGGTGCCTGAGCGCGGCCTGATGGCTCGCACGGTCTTCTGGGTCCTTTGCAGCAGAAGCATATCCTCTGCCTCCACCTCCACTTCCTCATTGTCCCAGTGACGGCACCCCACAGCAGAGCAGATGTATCGGATCTATAGAGGGGAGAGGTAATGAGGGAGGTTTAGGCATTTGAGCTTTATATATAGTGTATAGTTATAACAGTAGTGAGCTATCAAAAGTGAAGGTCAGTTAGTTATTGCTGTAATAAATTAGATACAGTAATGTTCGTGGCAGGTTTACTTTCATGTATTTAATATATCAACTTAACGTTCAGTATATGAAAGCTGAAACTATATATTGAGGGGCTCAATAATTATGGTGTGTACAATTCGATACAATCTGAGCTGTAAAAGGTTTAAAAAGTGATTTCTATGGCTAATTATTGCTTCATTCTGTTATTTATGTATTGCATCTCAGCCCTTTTAAAGATACAGTCTATTTAAAACTGGTTTACTGGGATAATCCTGCTTTTGTCAGTGACATAAAGTAATAGTCAATAGTATCGTTGATCTCAATAATTCTCTGTAGCGATATAACATCGCTTCAAAATTTGTTAGTACAAAGTTGTCCGTTAGTGTTTACTTTTTGTCAACTGGAAAAATTAACTGCATATTGTGCGCACAATTTAAAAAAAAAAAGGAGTGCAAATATATGTTGGGCTGCACAATATATAGCAAATGAAAAGAAACAGCAATTATCAAAGGGCAAAGGTAGCAATTATTTAAAATATACTTATTTTATAGAAAAATCAAGTTGTACCTATAGTTTACAATTGTACAAACATGTTCTGAACTGCATGGGGTTCTTGTTTATCAGTTTTCTTTTAAATGTTGCTCCTGGAGCTGTTTACACTGTGCACTCTGATCAAAATATAACCTTTTAAACATTTCAAAATCTAATCACATACTTTTCAGAAAAAAAAAAATTTGATTAGCTTTGTTTCAAAAGTGCACCCTAGTATATGAGGACTGAATATCAATGAAAGGAAATCAAATTATAAATAATTCTGAAGTAATCAACTTATTTCTTAATTATTTTCCTGATATAATTATTTTCTTGGTACCTTTCCGCTGAAGGCCCCGAGGCCATAGGTGGTGAGAGACTTGCCCCCCACGAGCACCGTGTCGTCTCCGATGCGATAGGACGACTCCAGCAAAGACTCCACACTAAAGGGCACTGCCTCCATCAGCTCTCTGTCCCTGTTCCACTGAAACAGGGCCCCATCCAGGGACGGGATCACCATCTTATTGCCAAACACCTGCACACACACACACACACAACACAAGTTCAAAGTAGATTAGTGATTTGAACTCTTACAGGAAAGTAAGTCCTACTAAAGGGGGTGTAGAGTGGGGAGACACATTCAGCTTAACATGTGTGCTATAATCTCTTTATTTATGTATTGCAAAGTTACTTTCTGTTGTCTGGAATGGGCACTGTTGGAGAAGTGTCTTGCTCAGTGAAACAATGACAGGCACGTGTTTGGTTGGGGAGGCCTTTAACTAGTACTCCTTCTCAACTTACCCATTTTAAACATTTAAATTCAAATGAAAGGAAACTCTACTTTAAATCCTAAAAATGTGAGTATATCTTCTGTTTCTTTCCTCTCAACTGTGGCTAAATTCAAATAAAATCAAACTTTTTTTTGCAAATTACAACGTAAAATCAAACTTGACAGGTGAACACATTCTTGCCTTTTCTTAAGGTGAACATATTCTCGCACTTTCTTAAACTAAACACTGTGGCACCTCTTGCATCATTTGACTCAATACAAAACTTCAATGTGCTGAATTAGTTAAACTTCCAGAAATATCCTTAGTTTCCAATTTACAAAATGCCTTAAGCGCAGACACAGAAACACAAATCGGCGCACGACGTCAGCCTCAAGATACTTGGACCCAATCCACGGACCATTACACAACCAAGAGCCTAAGTAATTAACCTGGATCCGAGCGAAGTGTGTGAGCGTGTGGATAATGCCTCAGTTCACATTAGTGGCTCACAGCAGGCGGTGGGGGGGGCTAAAGGATGAGATCATCGCACAAACTTACAATCCAGTTTTAACCTACACACTTCAGCAGCGCACCAGGGATCTTAAGATAATTGTTTTTCATGAAGATGTCAGTCACTGTGAGAATGACATTTAAGACGCTGGCAGTTCATGTTGTGAGTCATTTGGCATCAGTGAAGGATTGTGTAACACTGCAGATAAACTAAGAACATACTGTATCCGGAGCCTATTGTCCAACTTTGTGATTCTGAGTTTCAATGAAGACGTCATTTAACACCTGTTTAAACTGATAGTGCATATTTAATCTAGGACTGTCAAAATTATTCAGTCAGTCAATCATTGATATTCGGGTATATTCAGGTCAAAATATAACAGTGAGAACTAAAAATGTGAAAAAAAAAGACTTTGAAAAGAATTTTAGAAGCAAATTAGAAGCAAATTTTGTCACTAACAGTATGAAGTTAATTAATGTTTTGTGTTTGATCATGTCAGTAATCGTGAATTTTAACACTGAAATTTGATATCACGGTATCTTTAAAAGGTGCATTGAGTAAATTTCTGGTGGAGGATCTGCCACCTGCTTGTCTTCATGGAGATATTATTGCTTTGTCTTTTATGTCTCTCAGCATTAAACTATGTCCATGGAGGCAAAGATGAATATATGTTTTTATAGTGATTTGTGCTGACCAGAAAAAGCTAAGATATCTCCCTGGAAACAAGCTTGTGGTAGACCCCAACAGAAAAGTTACACAATGCACCTTTAAACATGGTATATCAAATAAATAAATACAATTAATGTAGTTGCTAGTACAAAAATATAATGCAATAATGTTTATGCTATCTTTAAAAACTGCTAAACAAAATGTGCAAGGACTAGACCAAATCCAGGTCTGAAATGGACTAAACTAGGGCAAAATTACACTCACAAAGCACCATATGAGATCCTGCAATATTCAAATCTAACCAAGACGGCGGGGCGCATAAATCAAGATTTATTATCCTGGCTCCTTTTATTATCAAGTCTGCTCGTTATTTATTTTGACAAGCAAATGTAATCGTAAATTTTGCATAGATAGATTCCCATAACAATATTGCCAAACAAGCATTTCTTTGAATATTAAAATTGTTTATAAGGCCATAAAATAAAGTTAAATAGCATAGCTTTATTTTGGACAAGTCTAACCAGCTACCTGTTACCCCTCAAGCGCTTAAAACTGGCCAATCACATAATCTCATTACAGTTTAAAGTAAGTACAGGTCAGTGGCAGCGCTGGATAAAACTATGTGTCAGAAAGTGATTTACAGGCTGGAGCAGAGGTGATGTCATCCCGGCAGAAACAAGAGGCCAGAGACAAGACCAAGATAAATTTAGCCACGAATTGAAAAGAGGGGAGGAGGGGGGGGGGAAGAAGGAGGAGGAGGGGGGAGGAGGAGGAGGGGGAGGAGGGGGAGTATCCAGGCTGACCATCACACCAAAAAGGAGAGGAGAGAATGAACCAGTGGAGTGAGTCATGAAGCTCTCAATGGCTTAATCCCAGTCACCCAGTCCCATTGACACTGGTTTCTCTATGATTAAGTAATGTTTGTTCTCTTCAGATTATAGCAGATTACGAGGTCTGTGTAATGTATAAGGTCATGTGATGAGGGCATTAAGGCTATTGTACGATCTGAGAGCAGTGTCATGGGAATATTATAGGTTCTGAGTTTGGTGTCTGGGTGTAGAAGGTATTAGATGTGTATGTGTATGTCATGTATATAACATGAAGGAACCACTCACCAGTACACACACACACATTCATACAACAGTGTACGCAGACACTGGGGGCATACACTCTGAACTGGAATTGTCCCGTCAACCTTAGAGTCTGTGGATCTGATCGCTCTACCAATGATGTTTATGTAAAGAACGGGATTTGAACCACCAGAGCGGGATTCGAACCATCAAACTTTGGATCAATAAATGAACACTGAGCTATTGTCTCCGCAAATATGGTAATCAATTAATCAGTCCATTAAGCATAATGGTAGTAATGATTAAAGAGGTTTCCAAGGGTCATTTAGCAATAGCTGTTAACAATATGCTCTCTTCTTATTAAAAAATTGTTGTATATTTATTTATTTATTTTACCAAATTAGTATAGATCAGACAAATTTACAGCAATTCTTGAAAAAATAGAGGTAAAATTTAAATTCAATCAAGACCTGTTAAACTTAATCAAACTTAATCATTAAATTCTTTTTGTTGTTGTTTTTATGTGGTGTGCATAGAAAGTGGCATTGTAAAAAATATATAAGTCACATTTAGTGGCAGTCACAACTTATTGAGTTGAGGTACACCATGTAAATATGTGCAGAAATATTCTAAAGCTGTCTTGCTTATAAGTTATGCAATATAGTGGACTGGATATATAAAAATCCCAGTGAAAACTTTTGACATTTGAAACAACGCACCATGCCAACTCCTAAAAAATTTAACAGACCGAAAAATCTGAAAAAGTAACTAAACATTTCGGAAAAAGTTCAGATGGTCAAGCTGATTCAAACTCTCTCTTCTGCCTCTGCTGTTTTTCATCAATGCCCAGGCAGTCTTCAGTTTGAGCTACTGCAGTAGTCTGGTGAATTATTGAACCCAGAGAAAAAAATCATTACATTTGAGCCAGTAGTGTTTTGAGTGTTTTGAGGGAGGCGTAGTGGGTTTTATGGCTGAAGTGGACGATTCACTTTGATATTGCTCTTGACAGGTCGTAAATGATAAAAGAGTCCATCTATGAGTCTATGAGCAGAGAAATAAGCAGTGAGCACAGTCTTTAAACAGTGAGAAAGTGAGATAAGGAGGGTGAACGTATTTATAACAGCAAAAGATTAATTTTTAAGTTATCTTTCAGTGTCCGTTTGCTCTATCAAAACACACTGAAAACTAATATAAAACTGAATAAAAATACAATTTAAATTTATTAGAAGGACTGCAAATGTACATTGTGATTACCTTAAGTTTAAAGGACACATATTACGCAATTTTCTTATCTACTAGCATGTTATAATGCCGTCTCATCATAAACATACCTGGAGTTGTGCTTTGTGACATGTCCACAGGTTTAACACAAAAACGCCACATATTTAGGCTGAATTGATCAAGAAAAACAAAACAAATGTCAAATCTCCCTGATACATTTTCATCAAAACATGTTTTTTGTTATTTAATTGAACCTATAGAAATCCCATAAACAATACCTATATATAGACATGCGTGTAACATGGTGGGAATTAAATGAGGTTATAGCAGAACAAAACATGTTTAAGTGGCAGCCTGTTAATGGTACAGAGCCCTGAGTTCAGAGGAAATTGAGCTTTAATGAACCGCGGGGCGAATATAAGATCAAGGACGAAAGACTCTGCTCCTCCCCCAGTTATTCAAAACACAGCATACATTTTCCACCTTTGTATGATAACAGAAGACTTGTATTAGCAAAGTCCCATTAAGCTAATTAGTGTATTTCAACATTCATTCATGCGTTTTGTTTCATATTTATGCTGGTAAAAATGATACAATTTTCTAGTAATTTCCATTCATTGTTTTGGTAGACATGGAGTCATTAAGATTTCATTTGCCCCTCTGTCTGTTTTGTTATGAGTCAGGCTTCGGTTATACTGCGCTATAGAGATTGGTTACACTTGTTAGAAGGTGATTATTTGATGTTAATAGTAATGGCATGTGACTGGGTTTGCCCCCCGGGAGTGTGATGGTGTTGGGGGTAGGTGAGGGTGGGGGTGGTATGGGGTAACAGGCGGGTATAGGAGGAGGGCAGGGGGGGTTTGTTGGGGGAATGTTGATGTTAAAGCTTCACTGATTCTGTCAAACAACGTCACTCGTCACCAACCGCTAATGCATCGCTGTTGGACCCACAATGCACTGCATCGCTTAGAGAGAGGAGAGACAGTGCCATAGAAAGTGTATGAATGAACTCGATGAACTGAAGGGGACTGGAGGTCAGCTTGTAAGTCTATGATGAGTAGTAAGAAAAAAATGTTAAAAGTGAAGGCATTTTCCATGTTTCATGCATGTTCTGATACAATTATATAGGTTTCAGCTTTGTATTTATAAGCAACATTTTGAGGACATTTCACCATTCATATGATATATTTTGAATTGTTAATTGCCATGGAAACAGTCGTAATGAGATCCTCTAAAACCCAGGGATTCCAAGCTCGGACCCAGTTTCCCTATAATACAGAAATACCCCACTATT